GGGGGCCCGTGGCAAGAGGCGCGGGCAAGGGGTGTCTGCGAGTTTTTTCCGGGGCCGAAAGTTGGACAGGATCCGGCCAGCCGGAAACAACGGCGTATGGCGGGGTGCGCCCTGCCGGCAGCCATTCCATCGGCCGCCGGGCGGCAGCGGGGCCAAGTCAAGAGGGGAGAGAATGCCCGTGAGGACATTGCCTGAAAAGGCTAAAGCCACCCCCCCCGCCCCCGCCCCCGCCCTCAAACACATATATGCTGGGGGAGGAAACTGAGACTGTGGAAAAGAAAGGGCACGGGAGCTTCCCCGGAATTCAGAATCTCGTCCGGGCGGGATGCGCTAGAGTTTAGGGTGTTCTGCCAATTGGCTTGCTCATCGGTGGTGAGCTGTGTCCGGATAAACCAGGGGGGCGTGGCTTTTCGGATGGGCGCGCACGCGTCCAAATGTGCTTTCAGGTACCCGCGCCTGCTCGCAGTTGCACGCACTCACATAAATACAAAGGCACCACCAATATTGCAGTCACTATCCCCCCGGCATCCCCCGGAGGCCCGGCCTCGTTCAGTGCCCTGGAGGCCGACGACTGTCAAGACCTTCAAAAGTCCCGAGGGAATGAGATCTCATCCTCCTCGTGCTGGAGACGCCTTGGCAGGCCGATCCACCGGCGAACGATCGGGCACCAGAAGCCAGCCGGAGCACATGACCCAGCGCACATGACCTGCCTCGACCAGGGCCGGGCGGGATTCTTGCCCGCGCGCGTGCGTCCGGCGGGCCCGACGACCACCCCCCCCCCCCGAGCCGCGGGCGGTATTCCTCCTGGGCCGAAACGATGCAGGCTCCCACTTAGGCCCCAGGTCATTATGCCACGCGCATGTAGAAAAATGATCCGGTTCTTGGCCCACCTGCTTCTGTGTCCCCCGTCCGCCTGGCCTCGCCCCCTCATCTCCCAGTCAGGGGCCATAGCGAAGGGCCGCCAGCAGACGCACTCTGACGCTCGCCCGTGCATCATCTCGAGGGATGCATTCTTTGCTCCCGGTGGGGGAGTTTTTCGGCCGAACTCCGGAGCGCCCGGACCGGCCATTGTGGCGGCACGTCCGTGAACAAGTGTGCTCCGCCAGGCCGCCCCCCCCCGCCCCCCCCGCGGCGGTGCGGCCCTGGGCCTTGGCCGAGGGGGGTCCCGCGGCCTCTGAACATGGGCGGGCAATTCTTGGGCTCCTCCTGCCCGGCGTGCACCCCGGTCCACACTCGAGGCGGGTCGTTGGGCAGTCGCTTGCCAGCATCGGCTCGGAGAGTGGGCACTCGCACACCATAAGGGCGCGAAGATTGCGCTCTCCAAGGCCCGGCTGTGCTCCTCCCATGCGCCTGGGGTATCTCCCTTTCGATGAGTGCATCACGGGTATTATCTCCCTTCTTCCGCGAGGGGGTGTGGGGGGGCGGGGGGGGGGGCGGGGTGACCGGCCGCCGGGCAGGAGGAGGGCGCAACGGGCAAGGGGGCGGGCGCACGGCGTCGGAAACACCGGCCCGTGAGAGAGTCTGGCCCCCCAAAATGGAATCTCTTCAGTCGCGTCGCTGGGTCCGTGCGCAGACGCCTGGCAGCCCAGCCCGCAGCCAAGAAAAAGAGACAAGGCCCATGGGGAGAGAGAGAGAAGACAATCGGGCGACATGGAGGGTGGCCAGCACATCTCCCTCGCCCCGCCCCGCGGAAAGCTGATACTTCTCTGGGGGAGGCATACCTCTGCGGTTATCACGAACCCGGTGGAAGAGGCGGCCGGCCCCCCTCCTCCCCATGTTGTGGAAAGACCCCCGCGCCAGTCCATTCCCGCCTGTAAAGGGTCGGATGGTGCAGCTGGCAGGCTCATTTCCTTTTTCAGGTCTGGCTCAACTGTGCCGGGCGGCAGGGGGGCCCGCGCGGTCCTGTTGTTTGGCCACGTCGTGTTTTCTCGCCGCTCACCGCGACCACGGCCGCGCACAGGAGGACGCGTGCCCCTACCAGCGCAGTGATGGAGGGCGTGCCCCACGAGTGTGGCGTCCAGGCCGCGACCTGGCTCCCAATCAAGACTGGCTGGCGGGTGATCGCATCACATTTGCGCGACAAGGCAGGGTGTCCCCCCCCCCCGGGTGGTCCCTGCCCCTCCCCCCCCCAGCGCGCCCCACCGTCAGTGTGGGGGAGTTGGACATGGGCCCGGGGCGCGCTCTCTGCCATTCGGCGGGGTTCAAGCGTCCTGGGGCAAGCTACCAGGGCGCAGCCTCCCCCCCCCCCCTGGCACCGCCGTGTTCCCAGTCGCCTTCTTGGCACGAAGCCTTACCCGCGGGAGGGGGCGTGCTACCCCGGGATGCCGGTGCGCTGGAGCCAGCCCACAGGGAACGAGAGAGCGTTGCCCCCCGCGCCCCCGCGGCCTCCCGCGGTCACCCTTAATTCTCGCCGGTCTGAGGGCCTTTCGGCGCCCGCCTAGGAGGGTGCCAATGTTCATTTGGATGTCTTCCCAGCCGCGGTTGAAAACCTCGCGACTTTTGGCCTCGGCCAGCCTCGGCGGGGATTGGGTCTTGGGTTCCGCACGCCCGGCGAGCCTACCCGGCGCCCCCCGCCCACATCCCACGTCCGCCCCCTTTGGGGTTGGGTCTTTTCACCGCCCCGCTCTGGCCCGTCTGGCGTCGTGGGCACCTTCGCGACCCCTGGGGGGCGAGGGGGGGGGGGGGCGCACTCTCACACCCGGGCGTAAGCTGCCGAGCGTTTTTCCCTGTTACCGGGCCCGGGGCCAAGAGCATTCTTCAGGCCCCTTTCTCCGGTGGGAATGTGGGTGTTCATGTCCGTTGTTTTTTGTCCCCGCGCGCGGCGCCAGGCCCCCCCCCCCCCCCCCCCTGCGATCCGACCCGGCGTGCATCTGTGCCCAAACAGCTGACTGCGCCAGGCGCGCGGAGAGTCGCCAGCGCATGCTCCCCGCGGAGGCGGAGGCGGAGGCGCACAAGCTCCCTGGGCACGAGCCAGCGTCGGGAGGTTCGGCTGTTGGTGTTTTTTGTTCGGGCCAGCCTGCGGCCGCTCTGGGCAAGGCCCTCTTGATCTCTCTCTCTCTCTCTCTCTCTCTCTCTCTCTCTCTCTCTCTCTCCAATTGCCCCCCCCCCCTGCGGGTTTTTGCAGCATTACCCCTGTTGAGTTGTCCCGATCGCGTCTTCCGAACAGCCCATGCACCTCCCCCGTCGCCCCAGGCTCAATCCGCGAGAGGCCACCAAGTGAAGAGCCAGTAGTAGCTCCCACATCCTGCGCCCCGACGACAATACCCCTCTCCCCCCCCCCCCCCCTCTATCCCCCCCCTCTCTCTCTCCCTGGATCATTTCCGTCCCTTTGCCTGCCCGCTCGGCGTTCCCCTCTCCCTCTTCCTGGGCCGCGTCCCTGCCTGTCCGTCATCCTGCTCCTCTTCCCCCTTCCCCTGTCTCTGCCCCTGCTCCTTGCATGCTCGCCATCGCCCTTTTCCTTTGACCGCCCCACAAATGCACAATGTGATCCCTTCCTCTTTTGGCGTCTCCTCACCCTTTCTTCCTCCCCCCCCCCCTCCCTCTCCTGTCTCACCAGCCTGTCTCGCCCTTCGTGCCCCTTCTCCCCTCCTCGGTCTTCTTGGCCTCCCCTTTCCCGTTGCCCTGCCACCCACCATGTCCTCCACCGATGTGGCAGGCGTCTGCGAAGGTCCCGCTTCCGAGGAGCACCCCGCTCAGTCACTCCCGGCCAAGAACTCGCCCACCAAGCCCACCGACATGTCCCCGAGCCCGGCCGACCCCGCCAGCGGCAGCGGCACTAGCCTTTCGTCGATTGGTTCGCCGGACTCCATGCCTCCGCTGATGGTCTCCAGCTCGCCCCCCTCGCCGGTGGACTTCTCCCCCTCGGTCGCCGAGGAGTCTCAGCCCTCGGCAGCGGTCGAGGCTGATGACGCCGGCGACCTGGCCTCCTTCTCGGTTTTGGCCGCTGCCGAGACCGAGTCGGTGGGCTCCGACTTCGATGGGTCCCCCCCTGCTCTCCTGGTGGGCGAGGAGGATCCCGTCCTGCCTGCCGCCGAGAGTACCGACGCCGAGGCCCCTGCGGAGGATTCGACTCCGATGCACGTTGAGTCGGCCGAGGTCGAGGCTGCTACCAAGGCCCCCTCGGAGACTGAAGCTGTAACCAAGGGTGAGGCCGGTGATGTGCCTGAGGCTGGGGATGTCATCGTGGCCGAGATTTCTCAGGAAAAGATCCACATCGTGACTGACTCGGCTGTTGTTGCCGAGGTTGAGGATTCTACCCAGCCCGAGCTCGAGCCCGAGCCCGAGCCCGAGCCCGAGCCCGAGCCGCTTGCCGCCGCAGGTGACTCGGAGATCGAGTCCGAGTCCATGCCAGAGCTCATGCCCGAGCCCGAGGCAGCTGCGTCCGAGGCCGGGTCCATGCCCGAGCTCCTGGCCGAGTCTGAGCACTCCCCTCTGGAACTTCCTTCCACCGAGTCGGACTCGGAGGAGCCGGAAGCTGTCATCTCAGCGGCAGTGGCGGAGCCTGCTCCGGCCGATGTCTCCCCTCCTCAAAGCAACAACGACAGCAACAACGACAGCAACAACGCCAGCAACAACGACAGCAACAACGGCAGCAACAACGGCAGCAACAACGACAGCAACAACGACAGCAACACCAGCAGCCATACAAACAATATCTTCGTGGTTATTGTTGATGGCCGTCGATCGGCCACTTCCCCCCCTGGCAGTCCCCTCTCCCCGGGTGATGAAGCGGTGGTATCCGTCAGCGCTGAGGCTTCTTCCTCGGACAACTCCCGCCCCCCGACGCCGTCCTCCTCGTCGGAGTCCTCATCGTCCCTCTGCTCCGGGACCGAGCCATCGACTATCTCGCCGGTCCCCCCGCCGGCCTCGGCCAAGCCTCGGCCCCTGCCGGTCACCCCGTCCGCCATCACTCTACCCTCGGCGCCGGATGGGTCTGATGCCAATGGCATGGACCCTGATGCCACTCTCTCTCTGGCCGAGGAGCCCGGCTCCCCCGATGAGGGGGCCTCCACCCCGGAACCCGAGCAGCTGAGCCCACTGTTGGAGGTGCCTCCCCAGCTGGGAGCTGCCCCGGTCAATGTTGACACCGGGTCTTTGGCCGCGGAGCCGCTGCCGGAATCGGACCCGGTGCTGGCGCCGGCGTCAGGGGATTCGCCGCCCGACGACCCGACTGAGGTGCTGGCGGAGGACTCGGCCGAACAGCCGGCTGGCTCCGGCAGCTCCAATGCCGACTCCCGCCCGACCACCCCTCCACCGGCGGCGGTCAGCTCGGCCTCCGGAGCCCTTGGTGGCGATGCACGTGCCCGGAACCCGAACGGCATCTCTCGCTCGGATTTGCACTACGAAAACACCAACCGCTTTGGCTTCCAAGTCGACGGGGAGGACATCCTTGATGCGGTGGAGGATGAGGAGGAGACTTCGCACAAGGCCATCCTCAAGAACCGCGAGCGTGAAACCAAGTGGCTGACCATGATCCGCCAGTGGGATAAGTTCTACCCGGACAAGCTGGACAAGGTATGTATATGCTTGTGTGTGTATATATATATATATGCACCCCCACATCCATCTTGCCTCAGGGTTGACAGCCCTTCGCCTGCTTGTGCTGACTGTTTGTTGGGCTGCCTTTGCGTCATTGGCATGATGATGTTTTGGCATATTTCCCTTCACACGCACACACAGGTGCGCGAGCGCTGCTACAAGGGAATACCGCATGGTGTGCGTGCGCTGGCCTGGGCCGCACTGGCCAAGGTCCCGGAGCTGAAGGCGTCCTACAACAATCGTGCTTTCACGTCCTTCATCCCGGAGGATTTCCGGTCGCCCATGTCCCCAGCGGCGGCGTCTCTCAGCCGTGCGAAGTCCCAGTCGGATGTGGCGGCGGCCCCCGGTCAGGCGGCGGCCCCGCAATCGGCCAACCTGGCCGCCGCGTTGGATGTCATCGAGCGTGATCTCGATCGGACCTACCCGAATCACATCATGTTCCGGCACTTTGACAGCGATGGCCAGCGCGATCTGCGCATGATTCTCCGCGCTTATGCCTACTTCGATCCGACCGTCGGTTATTGCCAGGGCATGGGCCTGGTGGCTGGTATGATGATGATGATGATGGGCCCCGAGGTGCGTATTTCGCAGCAGTCCCCCCTTCTGCCCTGTGCACGCTTGTTTGCGATATTCCAGTCACTCACCACCGTGCTTCGCCCCTTCTTCCTTGGCTCTCTCTCCTCCTCTCCTCCTCTCCTCCTCTCCTCCTTTCCTCCTTTTCCTGCCTCTCCCTGCCTCTCCCTCCCTCTCCCTCCCTCTCCCTGCCTCTCCCTCCATCTTCCATTGTCTTCTCAATCTCCCTTGAAAACCCGCGACAGGACTCCTTCTGGCTGCTGGCGGCCACAATCCGCAGTTACCTCCCTGGCTTCTTCGATTCCAAGCTTTGGGGTGTCCACGAGCATGCATTCATGCTGAAGCTCCTCGTTGCCGAGCGCCTGCCCAAGGTGTCCGCTGTATTGGTACGTCCATACCCGCAGGCGAGCGGGCCGGTTATGGCTACCGCCATCATCATCATGCCCTCATGGGGCCACCTACTGATCCTTTATTTGCGTGTCTCTTCTTTCCCCGGTTTCGTCACCCAGGACCGTTTCGAGGTTGACATGCTCATGTTCAGCACTCGCTGGCTGATGACGGTCTTCCTCAACTGTCTCCCTTGGCAAAGTGTTCTCCGGATTTGGGACATTCTCTATGTGGATGGCTCGCGGGCACTGCTTACCGCGGCCATGGCCGTCCTGGTGGAGCTTGAGTGTACGTCATCCTGAAGCCATCTCTCCCCCCCCCCTCCCTCCCTCCCCCCGCGTTGCTCATTACCCTATATGGCTGACGCTTTGTTCTTTTGACTGACTTTCCCCCCTCGTTCACCAACCACACGCGCGCGTGTATCCGGAATGGTCGCCCTCTCTCCGCCCTCCCCTCAAAAAAAAACAAACAACAAACAAACCGCAGCCGACCTCTGCAAAGCCCCGTCCTTTGAGGTGGTCCTCACCACTCTCAATCGTCTGCCACCAACGCGCATGCTCCCGAAAACTCTCTTCAAACATATCCACGGTAGGCCCAAGGTTTGCCATGTTTCCTCCAAGGCCTTCACCAAGCTGCAGGAGAAGGCTCGGGCCCAGTTCGGCGATCCGACAGCCTGAGTGTGAGAGCCCCCGTCCTTGTGCTGCCTCCTCCCCTCTTCTCCCGGTTCCCAAATACACCTGCCCTTGATCTGTTTCTGGCATCGTGCATGCCTCTCAGCGTCGCACCGGACGCGCACTGATGTATTTCGCTGCACCACAGAAGCAGAAAGAAGATAGTGGGAGTGCCTGAGAAACGTCCACCGGACAGCGGCGGGCGGGGGAGAAACAGCCAGTGCGCATTCCCTTGATCTATTCGGTCTCACGCTCGAGGGGTGTCTGTGCGACAATGTGTTTCCGGATCGATTCTGTGCGCGATTGGGTATGCGTGCGTGCGTGCGTGCGTGCGTGCGTGCGTGCGTGCGTGCGTGCGTGCGTGCGTGCGTGCGTGTGTGTGTGTTTTTGTGGATGAATGTCAGGGAAGCAGATGGGTGTATGGGAGAAGCAAGCAGGGACGCGAGGGAGTTGGTGAATGTGAGCCCCTCGGCGGCGGAGGGAAAGAAATGGCAAGATAGAGATTCGAAACACGGACCGATATCTTGCTCTGTCAGGGGAACAGCCTCCAGGACCTGCTGAAGGCGAATCAGTTCCTGCAAGAAAGGCACCGCCGGGTGGATATTCTCGAAGCAGCAGCAGGGCCTCAGGTCCCCGATGGTGCAGGCCGTGCAATCGTCCTTGACCGCCAATGTTGCGGCCACTTGGTGGATCTGACGGAAAGCGTTAGGATCAAATGAACCCTCGAGCCCCGCCGCTCCTCCCACTTGCCTTCCATGTCTGCCCCAGCCGCGTCGCCAATGGCACATGCATTTCGGCGAGAAGGGCTTCGACTACGCACCAGATTGGCCACTCGGATCCGGGCCCGGAGCTGCTCCAGTTCCACCTGTGTCCTCGCAAGCTCATCTTGGCATATCCCGATGGCGGTGAGGGCTGAAGGATGGGGCAGTGTCATGCCCTGCGTTGTGTCGTGTCCTCCGCGTCCTTGGCGAGCACAGGGCAAAAGCGAAAGGCGTGTGCGTGTGTGCGTGTGTGTGTGTGCGTGTGTGCGTGTGTGTTCTACGCACGCGTGCGCGCTAATTGAAAGGTTGTCGTATGTCGCACTGGAGCTGTGGGGCGGTCTCAGCGGCGGTGGCCCTTCTTGTTCGTTCATCTCACCGGATTCGGGGCCGGGGCCGGGGCCGAGCGGTCCGTTGGCAACAATCTTGACGCGATGAGACCACATGCCCCGCGCGACAAGATCCCAAGCACGGCCGGCGAACCAGGAGGACTCTTCAGCCATTGACTCCCCGGCAGTTCGGCTCCTTCGTGGCCCACCATCTGCGCCCTGCGCTCCTCTGCCCCTCCTCCCTCACTTTCTTTCTTTCTTTCTTTCTCTCTCTCTCCCCCTCCTCTCTCTCTCTCTCTCCCTCTTTCCCTGTCCACGCACACACTTCTTCAGTAAAGATGGCCTGCCCACCGCCATTGGTTCCTCCAGAACCAGAGGCCAACCTGGCGTCGCTCCTTCGATCGACCATTCTCCCAGTGTCGACACTGCTCTTGCAGAGCAGCGCACAGGTAAAGGAGCGCGTGCAAGCCCAGGGGGCCGATCCCAGTGTAAACGGAGGCACCAACACCGACCCATTGATCCTCATCTTCACCCTGGATCGAGACCAACTCCGAGCCTCTTGCCCGGAGCTCGCCGCGCACTTGGGCATCGCCTGCCAGGCTCGGCCGAATATCCGTCCCGGGCCGATGCTCGTGCCGACCCCACCATCAACCGATGACTTCCCAATTGGGCTCCTGCGCCGAGCTCTGGCCATCCCCTTCCGCATCAGCATGTCCTGGTACCCACCGAGCCTGTTGCCACATTGGTCTCCAGCACGCCCTGCGCGTGTGCCTCCCCCTGCGCCTGGGGAGGTGCCGGCTTTGGATGTCGAGGCAGCCACCCGGCATCCACTCACCCTGGGCCAGGCCATTTTCTCGGCCATCGGAGCCGACGATTCGGCCGCCATCCCGGCCTTCAATGCCTCGATTGCTGCCTGTGATGGGGCTCCTCCAGGCATGGCTGATGCCTTCCACACCGTCCCGACCGGGTCACTGGTGGTGGCCCTGCCGCCAGTACACCTCCTGCCAGCGGACAGTCGGCTGAGCCTGGGCACCGCGGCCGAGCCTGGCTCTGGTCCATGTCAGCATGAGCTCCGTCTGGCGGGAGGCGTGTCGACCAGTGGGTCCGCTGCATCGAATGCCCCTGCTGCCGGGGACCCGGCTGCCATGTGCCGACTTTGCCCGGCCGGTTGGGTCAGCATCATGGCAGGCTTCCTGCCGGCTGGGGACTTCGGGCTGACCGAGGCCTCTCCTGGCCGTCAGCCCGAGGCATGGGTCACTTTGCGTGGCCTGGCACAATTGCTTCCCCGAAATGATGGGATTACCCCGGGCTGGGCGGCTCGCCAGCCGGCTGTCCTCTCTTCGGCCGAGGACCAGCAGGCCGTCTGTCTGCATGCCTCTCCAGCCACTTGGGTGTCGGCCTGGTCCGGTGGGACGATCGCCACAACGCCCGACTCGCTGGATGCCGCTCGAGCGGAGCGCATTTCCCAGGCACAGGAGCGCATGCGGCCGGCCGATGCCGGGCCCCGGAGCCAGCCAGCCGGTCCACCGCCTCCCGGGGCGCGCTTCGCCCGGACCGGCTGCTTTGACCTGGTGTCCACCGGCGAGGCGATCGGCGATTTGGGCACCGGTTCGACGCCGCCGCCGCCGCCGCCGCCGGCCAGCCTGGAGCCGATGTCGGCGCTGGTGCCGCCGGCAGGAGTCCCGCCGCCACCGAGGGCATCACCCCCCCCTGGAGATGGGACTGCCTCCCAATTGGCCCCGGCACAGCTGTTCCTCCGAGCCCTGGCTCTGTCTCCATTTGACCGGCTGCACCAGTTGATTGCCGGCGAACGGGCACGCTCGTGCGGCGTGTGTGCCAGCAAAGGAGGCCGGTTCTACTGTGTGCACTGTCTGGCACCGGTGCCGTTGGCCCTGTCACCGGGGGCCGCGCCGACGGTGGACTGGTTCCCCCGCACGCGGTTGCCGGTCCGTGTGCTTGTCATCCGCCATCGCTCCGAAACCCCCGGACGCAGCACGGCCATGCACCTGAAAATGATTGCCCCCAGCCAGGTAGATGTGGTCACCTACCCGGTCAGTGAGGCGGATGTGGGGAAGGCACGCGCGGCGGCGAGGGTATTCACCGAGTGCAAGGGTCAAGCATTCGAGGCCGGATGTGCCGCCGGTCCTGGCTGCCCGGATGCCAGCTGGCCGGATGCCCTGTTCCCAGTGCATGACCCGGCGGCCCTGCTGGCCGGGGAGCCTGCCGATGTGGAGCGGTCCTTGTCCTTCTGGTTCCGTCATGTGTGGGGCTGTTCGGCCACCGACACGGCCATCCTCTTCCCGAATGCCAGCTCGGTGGATCTGCGAGAGTTTGCCGCCCCCGCTGACTGGGCCACTGCCGGGCAATGTCAGGTTCATGTGCAGCACCCGCATGTGCTGGGCACTGAGCAGCATGACTGTGCCTCTGGCAAGGCGATTCCCGGGGGATCTGCCTTGTGCTCGGCCGAGTCGGCCCTCGGCGACCCTCCGAGCCCGGTGCATGCCCCCAAGGCGGGCAATGCCCCACGCCACATTCGTAATCTCATCCTCATCGATGGGACCTGGAGCCAGGCAGCGGCCATTCTGCGTGACGAGGCTTCCCTGCATGGGCTTCCCCATGTGCACATCCCTCGGCTGAGCAGCCCAGATGCTGCACTGACGGCCGACGAATGGCGCGCCGGGATGACTGCTCCGCCGGAGGGCTTCCGCACTCGGCGAACCCCGATCAACCCCCAGCGATCGCTCTTCTGGCGCAGCAACACCCGAGCGGATCCGGACTGTGTGAGCTCCGTCGAGGCAGTGTACTACGCCTGCCGGCTGCTGGCCGGCTTCCGCATGCTCCCCTCTCTGGCCACGGAGCTAGTTGGCCCGGCCGAGGCAAACGGCGCGCGGGAATGGTTTGGACCCCCTCCGGGGGGTGCCCTCCCGCCGGACCTCGGGCCAGAGGCGCCAGATTCCCGGCTCGACAACATGCTCTATCTCTTCGTCTTCATGTGCTTCTTCATCAATGACAAGATCACCAGCACCAAGCGCATGTTTGAGGAGGCCGCTCGGAGAAAGAATGCCGCCGCCCCGGAGGTTGCACAATCTGCCGCCAGCAGCGTGGCGGTGGCGGCCCCTCCGCCGCCGACCGAGGGCACTTCACTTGGCTCCACCGTGGGCGGGCAATCGGCCCTTTCGGTCGTCAGCGAGCAGGACGGCCTGGCGGCCAAGCCGGGGCAGCAGCCAACCCATGGGCTCCAGAAACACGTGGACGTCACCATCCCCGAGGTGCCAGCGCGCAAGAAGTTTCAACAGGGCGAATGATCCACATGTCCAGAAATAGAATAAGCTATTGGGCCAGAGCCTGATAGTTCGCTGTGCTCGCCAACCTGCGTCCCCCCCCCCCCCTCCCCGTCGGTGCCTTGCACCGTGGTGTTCCGTGTGTTGTCTTTCGCCCTGGCCCTCGGAGCCAGGCCTGGCTGCTCTTCCTGCCCTCGTTTTCTTGTTCTCTGTACGTGGATAGCGGTGGCGGTGGCGGCGGGGGCGGTGGCAGGTGGGGGGGAGATTCCAAGAGTTCACCATCGGCGACAAGCGTTCACAGGCATGAAGGCGCGGGGGCCCGGCACCAGGAGTGTGGTTCACTGCAGGTCCGCTGTGAAAGCCGTCCATTTCCAATGATCCTCGCGGCGATTGGCCCTGTTGGATGTCCTTCGCGCGCCCAGGGACGCCCTCGACGGGAGGAGGAGCCGGTGATTGTGTGCGGGCTTGCAAGTTTGCGTGTGTGTGTGTGTGTGTGTGTGTGCTATTTTCGGTCTCAGCACCGGTGCTTCTGGCGGTGGACGCACATGCGCCCCTCCCTCCTTCGCCTGGACCTCGACCTCATGTTGATCCGTGCTTCTTCTTTCTCTCTCTCTCTCTCTCTGTCGCTCTGCTCGCGGCGCTCTTTGTTTCATTCGCGTTTGCATCTGTCGTTCCCGAGCAGACGAGTGGGGATGGTTTTCTCCCGGAGCCCGACAAGGATGTCCCGGGAGAACGGCGTACATTCGGACGTCGTCCTGCATCGGTTTGTTTTTTTCCCCTCTACCTGGCTCTTTCTTCGCACGTCTGTTTGAATGAGTGCCCCCGGCCCCCCCCCCCCCCCCCCCCCGATGCCTGGGGCACGGGGCGGCCAACCATGGCCCAATGTATATCCATGGAATGGTGGTGTTCCCGGCAACCGCAACGGTCAGCAACAGCCGCCAGTGCGGGGATCTGTCTTCCGCGGCCGTCGGAGGGGCCATCCACGGGGACCATCCCACTCGCCTCCAGCATCAGCCCACTTGGCGTTGCATCACCCCTCCAACGAGGATGCCTCGCTCGTTCTTTCCGCCTCCACCACTTTTCCCCTCTTCCTTTCCTCCGCGGTCTTCCCTCCGCCCCTCGCATACCTCCTGCTCATCCCTTTCGACTTCGCTCCTCCAGCTGCTGCCGGTCGCTGGCCCCCTGCCATCCGGACAGTTCCCCGAAACTCGTCTATTTCATGACCCATGTTGACAACCCAGGGCCCAGTGCTTTGTCTTGCCACAGAGTAGCCTCAACACCGCCCTTTTCCTTCCTCTTTCTCCGCCTCCTCCCTCCCTTGCCCCCTCCTGCCTCTTCCAGTGTTTGCCCACACCATCAAGGAGATGTCGATCGCCATCGATTGATTACTCTCCCCTCCCCCTCCCCCCCTCCTCCCCACTTGTTCTTCCTCCTCCCTCTCCCCCCCCCCCCCTCCCCTCCCTTCTCTCCATTTTCTCCCAGTCTAGTTCGCTTCCCGGGGCCGCACACCGCCGGCCACGCGCAGCGACATCTCCTTGCTTTGTCGGTACGCCGCACGGACATCTCGGCCTTCCACGCCCCGTTGACTGGATTTGCCGCTTTTCGCATCTCTCTCCCCCCCCCCCAATGCTCTCCTTCAGAGACTCATTCCTCCTTGGCCTCCCAATCTCCATCCGCTCCACCCCGGGTCGGCTGTACTCCCTCTCCCGCTCCACCCCGCCTCAATCACATCGGCGATGTAGCTTCGTAGCTCGGAGCACTCCGCCCCGCCCCGGGGCCGTCGCGGCCCACCGGCCATGGGGTCCACCGATCCGGCGACCGATCGGTCGCCCATTGCGCGACGTCTCCGCCGGCGGCCCTCCTCGACGGCGGGGCGACCGGGCCAAGTAGCCGCCGCCTCGGCGCCGGCTTGTCGGCTGGCACGCTTCTCCCGCGAGCTGGCCTGTGTCCTGGACCGGCCGGAAGATGCCTGCTGGGCGCATCCCCTGGTGTCCGGGCTTTCCTTCGGGCATTCGTCGACGCCCGCGGAGCGTGAGCAAGCAAGCCGCAGCCTGCGGCGCATGCGCGTTCTCTCGATGTCAGCCGAGCATGCTGACCTCGATAGTCAGCCGGATCTTCGGCCCCTGGACCATGCGGCCGTGCGGACGCTCTGCAACGCATGGGCCAGCTCCGACGCCGGCCCCGACATCCCGGTCCCCGAGGACATCGATGACATCACGGCCTTCGGTCAGCTGGAAACCCTCCGCCAAGTGGCCGATCTCGGGGGACATGTCACCATGCTGCTTGAGCGTCCGCCGAATGGGGCGCATCCGGCTCCCTCAGCGACGGCGAGTCACTCGGCCCTGGCCAGCCCTCCGGCGGTGCCGATCCCGCCGGTTCGTGTGTATTGGCCCTCGGAGGCTGTGGTGGCGGAGGCTGCGGCCGACGCCTCCGGCGACGCGGCCACCGACGATGATGCCTATCTCCTGATCCATCGGAAGCCGGAGCGACTGGAAAAGCGCCGAGCCGCCCTCGAAGTCGAGCAAGCTCTGCATCAGATGTTTGTTGTCAAAGAACGGGAGAGGCAGCTCCAAGCCCAGCGCCTGGCCAATGAATGGTTTCTCCCCGGCCGGCGATCGGCCTCCTCGGCTTCGCTGGCCGCTCTGACTGCGGAGGAGCCGGCTTCCGAGGGGTCCGGCGGATCGGCCAACAATGATGCCCTGTCGGCGGCCTTCCCCTGCTATATGCTCCCGGCTGAAGTGGGCTGCCCGCAGGTCACACCTGCGACACCGTCGCCCACATCCTCGGCATCCTCCTTGGCGTCGACCGCTCCCCTGCTTGTTCCTCCCGAGGAGCTGGATTCCAGCTTCCTTTTTTCTCCATACCTCAGATCTTTTCGCGCAGCAACGTCCGCGACGACACCCACGGCCGCAGCCACCGCGCCACCCTCCGCCACCAGCACCTGGACCCCCTCCAATCCGGCAAGACCGTTGCCCCTGCGACTGCCGGCGATCCTCGTGTCGCCCATCAACAATCCGCCGCTCGCTTCGTCAACCAACAAGGTGACAGATCATCTGTCATCACTACCGCCAGGGGCTCGCCCACCGGGACTGCTGTCGACCTTCAGCCGCGCCTCGGCCTCGACTCGCGGCCGGCACCGCTTGGAACACCTGCTTGTGGGTCTTGAGCAAACAACGACCCGGGCTGCCCCCCCGCTGGCGGTCGAATCTCACCGAGGAGGTGCGCCAGCCTTGCGCTAAAGCCATCATGTAGCCACGCGACCGCATGCTAGCTGGGGTTTCTGCCACGCTGGGCGCCCCTGCTTCGGGCGGCCTCCTGTCAGGATCTGACCGGGGCCGATTGCCGGGGCTCTTCCCGGCGGCTGCACCCTTTGGCCCCTGATGGTGTTCAGCACCACCCGGTGGGCGACTTTCATCCTCCCTGGCCTCCCCACAGCACCGCCGGCTGTGTGCATACCTTCCCCTTGTCTGACCCCGACTTTGCTCCCTCCCTGCCGATGGTACCGCCATCTCTACCCCAACGTCCCAAGGCTCCGCCAAGCAGCAGGCAGCCGAGCCGGCACTCAATGGTCGATCCTCATTGTCAGGCACGGGCCTCCAGCCGGCAAAGCGCCCGCGCATCCACCGGGGACCCTCATCACAGGCTCTGACCCCGACGAATGTCCCCCCGGCATCGAAAGGGGCCTCGGCCACCAGGATCCCACTGGCGAGACCAGCCCTCCGACCGGCGGGGCCTCCGGCATCTTCGCTGTCTTCCAAGACGTCCGCCTCCAAGCAAGCCCAGCGGTTGGCCCTGCAACCGGGCTCCACTCGTGCCTTGTCCCCCGCCCCAGGTCCGGGTCTTGGCCCATTGCAGGCATCGGATCCGGCACTCGGGTCAGGTTCCCCGAAGCACACAGCCCGGACGCGCAATCCGATGGTCTTTGGCTTCACGCGTCCCCGGCGCTCGCCACCTTTCCCCAAGACCCCGCCCGAGGGACTACCCATCTATCTACTTTACGCTTTGTCCGTCTTTCCCGAGGCTGGACGCCAACGGTCCGGCAGGCAGGGCATCTCTCACAGCGCGGCCAGTCGTTTCGCTGGCGATGAAGACATGGGCGATATCATCCATGTGCCCTATCATCGGCAGCGACCGTACCAACGCGAACGTCGCTTCCCGGTAGCCACCCCGAAGGAGGTGAGCTGGTATGCCATGGCTAGCGGCTGGCATGGCCTGAATCTCAGCCGGGAGGCCATTGCTCGGCGGGTACGAACCACACCGGCCCGGATGGCCAATGAGTTGCACCCCTACCAGCCGGTGACTTCCTCGCCGGGCGGTCCTCCCACGGAGGCTGATCCTGATCAGGGGCCTGCGTCTTCGACGACCGTGGCCACCAGTACTGGTGCGGGTGCTGGCGCCGGCACCACCGCCGCTGCCACCGCCGCTGCTACCACAACTGGTGGCACCAGCACCACCGGCACCACCGGCACCACTGGTACCACTGGTACCACTGGCACCGCTGCCGCTTCTGTGGCCTCTCCTGCCACCGCCGGAACGCCATCGTCTGCGCCTGGGTCGCCATTGAGCCCGGGCTCTGCCATGCAGCAGGCCTCCATTTCCTCATTCCTGCTGGGTGGGTCACCGGGCGCCGGAACTGGCACCTCACCGCGACGCCGAATGACTGCCCTATCGCCGACCTCAACACCCTCTCCACATCGGACAAAACGCTCGCTCGGAGCCAGCCCCACGGGCCCCGGTGTCTCGCCGTCTGGACCCCTGGCAAAGGCCTCCCCCTCCTCTCCCGGGACTGGGAGCCGCTTCCGGCAGCCGTCCATCACGCGCTACCTTTCAGAATCTCCCTCCTCGCCCCGCCCGTTGTCCTTGTCATCCTTGGCCGGGTCGGCGCGCCTCTCCTCAGGCGGCAGTCCGGTGGGTGTGGGCTCCACCCCGCCATCCCTGCCGCAGCAACCTCCCCCCACCTGGGAGTAATCTCTCCCTCCTCCGTCTTCTCCCTTCCTCTCCCCTGCTCAACTCCGACCTTAGGGTGGTCAACGGTGTCAGACCCAAGTGGCACAGGAAAAATGGGGTCTTGACGCGTGCGCGCGCGCGCGCGCGTGCGCGGGCTCGGAGAGTGGCGGGGCCCGGGGGGCGGCGAGGGGGCGTGCCCGGCCCTTCCCCCCTGCCCGATCGTCCAACAGCAGCCGCACCCCATGTCCCGAGTGCCACCGGAAAGGCAGCACTGATGGAATACAAATATATCCACTGGCACTGGGTGCATGTGCGTGGCAGATCACGCTCTCGCGGGCGCCCTGCAAGCAGCGTTCTCGCGGCTCCGGTCTTTCGCCAGAGGGGCGACTGTTTGACGGGGGCATGTCCCATGAATCGGCCACCGGCTGGTGAACACTCTGGGCACGAAGGGTGGATGTACCAAATCAGGGGATTGCTGCCTGAGACGAATCAGCAGGCAAGCAGGAAATAGAGAGAGAACACTTCGCACAACAAAGGGGCCCCGGAGGGAGACTTAAAACAGGCACCCACAGCCCAGACCAGTGGTGCTTCAGCGAGGCTCCCGCATGCTCATCGACACGCAGTCAGCAAGGTCTCTTTGCTCGCAGGGGGGGGCTCACATGTGGGGGCCTCCCTTTTGATCCTGGGCCAGGCTGTGACGGGCTGATCGGGGAACCTCGCGCACGAGCATGTCCTCCTCCGTGTCGGAGTCTCTCCGGGCGGCCAGAATTCGGCGGCCTCAAGATTGTCGTCTTTTCCGCGCGTACTTCCCATCCGAGGAATGATGTTTAAAATACGATAAATGCCTCACGGAATCATGCATGAACTCCCTACAATCCAACGAATGATGCGTTTCTCCCGAGCATTGGAGTACATTGCACCGTGGCTCGATTGTTTGTTGGGGGTCGTGATCGTCCCAACGTCATTTCGAATGTTGTTTCATGTCACCTGAGAAGTGCCACGGGCGTGAACAGGCTTGGTGATGCAGCCGTTTCGTCCATTTACGATGTATCCCACCGCCGCCCTTGCCCGGAGGAAGAGCAGGGGAGCAAAAAAAAAAATACTGGACAGAGCCTGGCGTTGTGTCGATGACTGCCTTCGACCAGGAACCAAGGGGGAGGGGGAAGGACCGGGCGCCTGGTAAACCCACAGCACCGCCGGGCCAGCTCCTTGCTCGATGCTCTTCCTCCTTCTCCTCCTCCTCCAGAGGCTACGAGGCCCAATGCTAAACCCTCTCTCTCTCGGCCCGTGGGCACACGCACCTCGCACAGGGGGGCTGGGGGGGGGGGGGCCGCGCTGGCAGCCGCTTAGCTAGTGGCAAAGACCCACCAAGGTGGGGGGGGGGGGGAGAACATTTCCGCAGTTCCAGGGCCCCTGCGTCCTGAGGGTTCACCACCTCCCCAGTTCGGGGGCCTGGGCCAGCTCCCCCCATCCTTGCACGGAAGACTGCTCGACAGGAGCCTGCCCACACCAACGCGCGAGGGTGAACATGGAAGACAACCACAGAGCCGAACGCAGACAGCTAGAAAGACGGAGAGAGGTGGCGGAAACACATCAATGTTCCCGGGGCGACGGCCGTCAGAGGCATGCGCCGGCGCGGTGGCACTTGGACCCCAACTGGTGTCCTGCTCGAGGCCGAAAACAACCATCGCGTCTGGGGGTGACGAGAAGTTATACGCTGCCTCGTCGGACGACAGTCCTCCGTAGCAATGCGCTTGGAAGCCGAGAGGAACACAGAATCAGAGGCGGAAGGGGGGGGGGGGGGGGGGGGAGGGGACTTGTAAGACAGAAGTTCTCTCTGCGCAAGGACCGGCCCCCGAGCGCCGGAACGCCAGCATGTCCCCCTTGTGCCTGGTCATGAGCGTCCTGTTCCTGTTCTGGGGCCTGTATTGGGGCCACAGTGAGGACCGAAAGGCCTCCGCCCCAGACCCCTCCGCCCCATGGTCTTGCTAGAGACATATTGCCCGGATCATCCCCCTCTGGACAATGTACTTCCCCATCCCCCCCCTCCTTCTCCTTTGCCCCTTGCCTCTCTCTCCCTCTCCCTCTCTCTCCCCCTCGCTCTTTCCCGCCCGCCCCCACCCCATGCTCTCCTCCCCCCTCCCCATACAGACGCGCTGGCTGCATCGCCTCTCCGCCCGGTCCCAGGCCCGCTATCCACCTTCGTCCTTCCCTCCATCACACAGGGACGCGGGCAACCTCTCAGTAGTCCCGCCGGCCGCCCGATACCCAGCCACACACATTCCCGAAGCTGCCGCATTCGTCAATGACACCCCGCGGGCCATGGCGCTGGGCGCTCCTTCTCCCCTTCCCTCTCCCATCCGTCCCTACCTCTCCGCGTTCCTGCTCCACACACATGATCCCTGACACACAACTCTCCCCCCCGCCTCCCCGCCTCCCCGCCCCTGCCTTCGAGCAGCTCACTCGTGCACTGCCCTTTGTGCGAATCGCCACCATGATGCTCGCTACTCGCTCTCTCGTCGGCACCGCCCGCGTTGGTACATCCCTCCCCCTCCGCCCATGCCAGCCTTCACAATGCCCTCTGTCCTCCGTCTCGGCACCGCCCCTCTCTTACACGCCCCTCCCCCCC